TCCTAGCTGGAGCAAGTACCCAACACGAAGCAGTAAAACTTCAGAAAGATTTAATAGCAACCCTTAAAGCTGGGGGTTTTACATTAAGAAAGTGGTCAAGCAACAGCCCAGAGATCCTTAAGACACTTCCAGAAAATTTTAAAGACAATATAATACAATTGACAGGAGATGAAACAAGGAAGTCCCTTGGTGTCTTATGGTCGCCGATAGACGACACATTCCGATTTCAAACAAATGTATCAAACTACCAAAAACTGATGAAGCGAGTTATTCTATCTGAAATAGCTAAATTATTCGACCCATTAGGATTACTGGCACCTGTTAATATCCAAGCAAAATTACTTATACAAGAATTATGGCTTCAGGAGTTAGATTGGGACCAACCAGTAACCAAACAAACAACTGATCAATGGCTTGAATTTAAGTCTCACATAAAAGCAGTCGAAGATTTTCGCATACCAAGATGGCTGCATTGTGATGAAACCCATACTGAATTACATGGATTCTGTGATGCATCCGAAAAGGCATATGGAGCTGTGGTATACACAAGAACATTTTATAAGGGGAAAGTATACATATCGTTGGTACAGGCCAAATCCAAAGTTGCTCCGGCAAGAACGAAGACAACCTTGCCTCGACTTGAACTGTGTTCCGCTGTTCTGCTAAGTAACTTATTGCATAAAGTTAAGCAGACACTCAAATTAAACGATGTTTCCATGTATGCCTGGACAGATTCGATGATTGCATTAGGATGGATACGAGGAGATCCTTTAAGATGGAAGACCTTCGTGGCAAATAGAGCAGTTGAAATACAAAAACTAGTTCCACCGTACCACTGGAGTCATGTAAAATCTAATGAAAATCCTGCTGATTGTATATCCAGAGGAATTGATCCAGTAAAACTATCAAATCACATCTTATGGTGGACAGGTCCTGAATGGTTGCAAGATACGAAGCGATGGCCTAAAACTCCAATAGCTGCTTCTACAAACGAAGAACTAAAGATGTGTTACCATACCAATGTTAAATATAGCGATGGAATATGGTGCAGATTTTCAAGCCTAACACGAATGATTCGAGTCCTATCATATTGTAGAAGATTTTTGAAAGATGTCACCTACAAGGGTCCGTTAAAGTTTGAAGAGACACATAGCACACTTATGCAAATCATAAAACTAGCACAATCTGAAGAATTAAAAGGAGACTACCAATCCTTGATGAAAAGTAAAATGGTACATAAACACAGCAAATTATTGACTCTTAATCCATTCATAGATAATGTAGGAATTATAAGAGTTGGGGGCAGACTGGAACATTCTCAACTATCGTATACTAGAAAACACCCCATAATCATTCCATACCATAGTCACCTCGCCATTCTCATCATTAGAGATGCTCACCAACGAACATTGCATGGAGGAAACCAAGCAACATTAGCCTATCTGAGGCAACGATATTGGATTGTTAATTGCAAGACAGCCATCAAGTCTATAATTCATAAATGCACCACATGTTCACGATATAAGGCACAGGCTGCACACCAACAGATGGGGGAGCTACCTTATCCCAGAGTATCACCAAACCCACCATTTACTCACACCGGAGTAGACTACGCGGGTCCCATTCAGGTGCGAGCCACTAAAGGAAGAGGACACAAATCGTATAAGGGGTACATCGCAGTTTTCGTATGTCTATCTACTAAGGCAATCCATCTTGAAGTAGTCAGTGATATGTCTACTGACACATTTCTTGCAGCGTTTAAAAGATTTATAGCCAGGCGAGGTTCCTGCTCCCACATGTATAGTGATAATGGTACAACGTTTGTCGGAGCCAATAACCATTTACAAAAGGAAATTACCAATATGGTCAAACAATCAGAAATGCAAATCATGATGACGACCACAGGTATTCAGTGGCACTTTATACCTCCAGCATTTCCGCACTTTGGAGGCTTATGGGAAGCAGGAGTTAAGTCCATGAAATACCATCTGAAGAGAACAGTTGGAGAAGCTAAGTTAACCTACGAAGAACTAACTACGCTGACCCATCAAATAGAGGCTTCTCTTAATTCAAGGCCGTTATGTCCCCTGAGTGAAAATATAAATGACACGATTACGCTAACTCCAGGTCATTTTTTGATTGGTAGGGAATTAATTGCACCACCGAATCCAATTGACACCAACATCAACACTAATCTATCACAAAGATGGCGACTCGTTCAGAAGATTAAGACAGATTTCTGGAAAGCCTGGTCCATGGAGTATCTCTCAAGACTTCAGCAACGATATAAATGGAAAACTCAGAAAGATAATTTAAAAGTTGGAGATATCGTCATAATCAAAGAGAACAACATTAATCCAAGTCAGTGGCCATTAGCACGAGTAATCCAAACTCATCCCGCACCTGATGGAACAGTACGTGTAGTAACTCTTCGCAGAGCAACAGGTACAACATTAAAACGAAATACTCACAATTTAGTACCGCTGCCCCTCGAAAATGAGAGAGTTCCTGAGATACCAGTTCCCAACAAAGTTGCTACACGTACAAATGTTAACCTAACCAGGTGTGTTACAAACCTTACCACTAGGTCTATTGATGGTTTTCCTCAAACAAGTCCAAGTACATCTATCTTCATGAAAGCTTCTAAACCGGGTTCAAAAACACACCAGTATCGGAGTACTTATTTATTCCACTTATGCCTATGTATGATGGTAGTTTTATCCGTTATATCAAAAGTCGATTCTAAGTATGTAATACATCATCCCAATCCTGGAATATACGTGGAACATATTGGTCATGCAAGGCTTGATCGAGGAATATTTAGAATCCAGGTAAACTTCGAAACTACTAGGCTCGAACAAGACTTTAAAGACGTGTCAGTAGTGGTACAAGAATTCAATGATCTCTGTAATAAAACCAAGGCACTCTCTGATGAAACTCAATGTACGAGTCTTAGCCGACATCTCATAGACCAAGAAGATCAACTCAATTGGTATAGAAGCAGTTTGCCAAGGAACAACGGGAATCGCAACAAAAGAGGAATCTTGGGTAAATTCCTAACTAGCGTATTTGGAGTCAATGACGAGGTTTACCAAGACATCAATGCTCTTCAAGAAAATCAACAAGATCTCATAAAGGCATCAAGTCATCAAACTAAATTTATGATTTCGACTATCTCAAAAATCAATGAAACTGAAAAAAGAATCAAAAATCAACTAGAACGCTTCAGAGTTAAACTTAATCAAGGGCTAGTTGCAGTTAATGAGATGCAAAGATGGTACAAATCAGTAGATATAAATAAACTCAATATGCATCTACTGAGCACCTACCAGGTGGCCTGCAATTTTTTAGCGGAGTTAAATGAATATTACTCCAAACTCCTAGACGTTCATTTTAATAGAGGCAGCCTATACGATTTGATATCTCCACCTTATATTAGCCACATCATTGTCGCAGCAGATGATAAACTCCCATCAAATCTACAAATATTACCAACACCGATTTTAAAAATGAAGATGGAAATTAATGAGACCCACATTCAAATCTTTGCATTCTTTCCAATCGTAGATATTACAGAATTCGCTCTATTGCAAGCAACACCAACTCCTCTCAAAATAGATAAGGGATTCTACTGGATATTGGATATTCTAAGTGAGATCATAGGAGTGGACTACAATACACAGCTTTACTTCCAATTAACAAGTGAAGAATTTAAAAATTGTATCTACTTGGAGGCAAATCAATATATTTGTTCACCCGCTGTTGTGAAGAACATCGAAACAAATTCAAATTGTGTAATAGATGAAATTTATGAAAGACCAGACACCACTCAGTGCAAGATCAAAAAACATAGAGCTGCCCAAATAACATGGAAACAGCTTCACATGCCCAATACTTGGCTCTTTTTTACCAGTAAACCAGTCAACGTGGCTGTCATATGTCAAGGGATACGAGAAGACGTAAAACTCAATTCGACTGGAATTATTCAGATATCACAGGATTGCATTATAAAAACGAAAGAAAATATTTTATCCCCAAAAAGATTGAAAACTGTTCCTGTCCTAGGTAGTTACTCAAAGGCTCTAGCGCCTACTATCAACACTACAATAGAATTGCCATCACGACACTATCGCCGAAGAAGCTGTGTTTAAACTTACTGATAACTTAAAAGATATACAATCGGAAGAAGAGACACTTCAAACAAAAATTAAAGAAACAACCTGGAAAAAACTACATCAGCATACATATTTGTCTAATGGGGTAACTGCAGTGATCATAGGAATCGTAGCCTTGGGTATATGGTTTGGAAAGCGAATATACAACAAGAGGATCCAAAGAATACAACATCTGTCAAATCAGCCTGAAGTAATCGAGCTCCAGCCCCTGAGATGAATTGGAGAGACGCCAGAATGTTCAATCAGAACATAATAAAATAACATCCTGTACATCAAAGTTTAATTTATTTCACCATAAATTAAACAGTTAAAATTAGAACGTTTCTGGTCGGCGAACCTGAAAATTGCAACTCAGCGAAAACATCGAGTTCGTTGTTTAATTAATTAGCAAAGTTGTTATCTTATATTTAATATTGTTGAAATTTTGTTTAATAATAATAGTTTATAAAAATGTTAATTTTTTTAAAAATAAATGCTTTTTAACCCCACGTTTCGTCTATCTAACATCCTTAAAATTAATATAATAATTATTAAAAAATAGCCCTTATTTTTTAATACAAATTATTCATTTGTTAGTCATTTTGTTCTCTAAGAATTATAAATTTGTAAAGTTTCAATAACAAGTAAAGTACTTTTTTTCACTAGTGAAAAAAAGTAACTTTTATATTTCTAATATTAGTGGATTATGTGTACGGTAGTAGAAAAAATATTGTATGCCACTCGTGTTGTAAAGTCCCTTTTTTGACTCATGTGATTGTCGCACTCGCCTACGGCTCGTCGACAACATTCACATTCGTCAAAAAAGGGTAACTTTACACACTTGTTGCATAAATAACTATTAACTGTCTACTAAAAGAAGTGATACGCCTATGGATTACGAACGCTTTATTATTTTAATACTCTCTCATACATAAAAATAGACATAGTTTGTTCTTTCTGCGTTGTTTTCTGACTGTACGAAGGTTGATTCTCAATTTTTCTATATTACTCAAACGATTTTAAACTGATAATGACTAAAATATCCCAGTAATTTAATCAAATATAACTATTTAATTTAATAATAATTAACCGTTTAACTTAAATAATTTAAACAATTTATTAAAAGTCCAAAGAAAGTAGGGTAGTTCAATAAAGAATAACTAGCAGGAGCTCTCCTCAACTTGTTTATTCGCGCAAAGCAATTTTTGCTGCAATTTACCATGTTAACATTACACACATTACTCGTATTTGTAAGTACTCTCAGATATAAACTTACGATAGTGTTTTGCTCGGGTAAACGGCTCTTTTTGAACACATTAACGTGCTTTTTAAAAACAATTTTTTATTCATAGAGAACTCAATATCAAAACCTTCAAATTAGACCGAAAAAATATAGAATGGAAAAAGGGGTCAAGTATCTATGCCTAATCCTGGACAACAAATACATATGCGAAGTCATAAATCAGGCTATAAAAGTCCTATATTTTTGCTACGAGTGGATACAGCAATAATCTATCTACTATGACAGCTAATGTGAGTATTTTCAGACCAAAAACATAATTGACTGAATTGTTATTGTATGTAACAATAAAAATAATTAATTAAAAAATCGAATATCATTTATGAATACGTTCCAGTCCCATCCAAAATCCATCAGGTGGTAAAATAGAAAACATATTCTTTACATGTCGAATCGGAATTTCTGTTCTTTTCACTGGAACAATCTTAAAATGTTTCAAAAGATAGAAAAACATAACTTTAGTTTCCATCAAGGCAAATCTCGATCCTATACAGTTTCTCGGACCAAGCCCGAACGGCTGGAACGCGTATGCATCAAAGTTTGTTTTATTTTCATCGCTGAATCGTTCTGGATCGAAGACATCTGGGTTTGGAAAGTTGTTTGGATCATGATGTATGCCGTAGGTTGGGATGAAGATTGACTGTCCTACTGTTAAACGAACTGGTTTTTCATGTGGCAAACTCGGTTCGATGGTGTAAGGTTTGATACATATCCTTTCGAAACCAACTTGTGTTGGCCATTTTCGTAACGCCTCTGTAAATAAAAATGTTTGTGTGAATATTATTTATAGAATTTATAGAGGTGACAATGATTATTTTTGTGTTTGATATACAGATTAGGAAAAAAGTATATGAGCCGCAGGAACATATTCGTATCACGTCGAAGAGCATCGTAATTTAATCGGTCAACATGTACAATATATTTTAATTTTTTAGCTCCCTTATTATTTCATTTACTAACGTAAATGTACCAATTCCTGACACCTTAAGGATTGATTTTAGTTGTTTTTATTTCTAAAAATAATTATGAAGTAACTGTGGTATATTTTATGGGTGGACAGTTAGAATAGGTAATGGCAATGATGCAATATTATTGATTTTGATTAATTATGATATTTATAATAATTTGCAAAATTTTGAAAAATTGTTTATTTTTGTCCAGTACCTGACATAGCTTTTTTTGACTTGGCCCTAGGCCTGACTTTAAAATAACCAATGCCTGACCCATTATATAAATAGCTCAAATATGATGTTCATGGTAGGGATACCAAATTAATTGCTTAAATAACCTTTAATCAAAGTTAAAATATAGACCTATATTATAAAATAAAATTTAATGAACACGCAGATACAATTATTACATTAGTTACAAATAAATATTCATTTCCTGCACAAAGTAACTACCTCTTGAATTTACAGGTCTTGGTTTTTCAATTTTTCTAATGACGTCCTCCCGTGAATACCATTAAACATCTTCATTTTCTGGCCATCTAAAGTTCAAACCGCTCTGTTCCATCGTGGTTACTAAATAAGATTGATTTTTTGGATCAGTCTGTTTTATCTGACCGGGATAATATTTTCCATCGTATAATATTATAACAAAGTTTTCTTCTTTCAAAACATTTTTAGCTACTGTAGTTTCTTCAACTCTGTCACTATCTTCTGATAAAGGTTGATCCCAGTTATCTCCCTCAGCCTCAGATTCGATTAACATGTCAACGAAAGAGTCAGAAGATTCATCAGAAGTTGTACTCAATTTTCTGCGTTTTTTAATTTGTGCCTCTTTTCTTTGGAGTCTTTTGATAAGCTTTGTTTCTTCAATTTTTCGTTTTTTCTCTTCTTTTTCTTGTAACTTTAACAGCTTGGTTTGCTCTCTTTTAATTTTTTTCTCACGTTTTTCTCGTTCTATTTTCTCTCGCTCTTCTTCTTTCTTTTTAAATTATAGTTTTCCCTTTTCACATGAAATTACTGAAGGTATGGGCTCTCTAAAAGCTCGCTTTTTAACAGTTTTTACTGTATTTTCAGGCAAAATAAAAACTCCCTTGAATGGACTTGGCATTTGAGCATTTGTTGTATATGAGCAACATGTTTCATTATTTCTTGTTTTCAATATATTTTTACTAGTACTTGCAACATCCTCAAAACTGTTGTTTTCCAATAAACCCACTTGTAATGGCTTTGAATTTTCTATCTCTTTGGATATTTCATTTTGCTTTGATTCTTTAGATGGAGGTGTGATTTCAAATATATTTTGTTCTGTTTCCTCTATTTCTGTGATGTTTCTATTATTTTCGAAATCTTCATCAAATACCTCTTGTAAATTGTTTATTACTATGTTCTTCTCTGCCTGTTCTACTTCGTTGGCTTCTGTATTAGTGTTCACATCACATTCCTCTTTTAATGTTTTCCATAGCATGTATAAAGATCTATCAACATTGTCAGGATCATCATTTTCAAATTTTTTAGTCATCTCTGTACCAATTCGGGATTGAATAAACTGAAAATGAATGCGCAACATTTCTTTGGATATAGTGGGTTTCTGCGCGTTTTGATTATTACTATTTCCTTTAACGTATTTTTCGTAATTTACTGCAATTTTATCAAAAGGGAATAGTCCACAGCGCCGAAATCCGTTAACAAATGATTCCGGCTTTAGCTGTTGTAGTACAGTATCCAAAAGAGAACAAAAATGTTCTCGTTTCAATTTTGCTCCAGAATTCTTTATTTTAAACGAATGCACTGCTTGTTTCCACAATTGTTTTAGTGGCCGAAAGGCTGCTACATCCATTGGTTGGATGATATGTGTTGAATTAGGGTGAAGAGCTACCAAATATATCCCGTTTTCGCTGCAGAATTCGCTTAATGAGTAAGTCAAATGACTTGAATGTCCATCGACGAACAACACTACTGGTAATTTAATATTGTTCTGTATTAACCAAGGATGGAAAATATTTGCGATATACTCAAAAAAAGTGATACTTGTCATCCACCCTGATTCCGTTTTTCCGACACTCCAATGATCAGGAAGTTCACTTATGATACTTGAAGGTATTCGTTCATATTTAAATACTGCCATTGGAGGCATTAATTGACCAACAGCATTGCATTCAATCAAACAAGTGATGCACTCCTTTTCATCATTGCTGCTAAAAGAATAAACTGCCTTCTCTCCTTTACGAACTAAAGCTTTCTCTCCCTTTGGAGCTAAAAATATTGCCGTTTCGTCGACATTAAAAACCCTACTTGCGTCATCTAATATATCTAGGTTTTCTTTCAAGTCGTTCTTTACATCGTCAAACCACTCTTCAGTTACGGACGCCCTGGCTCTGCCCAAATGTTGCGTCATCCTCGGTACTACTTCCGGTCATAAAAAAAAAACGTTATTTCATTAGAAATTAAGGTTATAACAAGTTTCCCTACTAATAAGCAGTACGTCTATATAATTACTTTAATAAAATTAAACAAACTCACCTCGTTATACACTATTTTTGTAACATACAATCCTTCTTAGAAACGCCAGTGAAACAGAGGTAAATGTAACTGTCAGGAATTAAACTGTCATAAAAAATTTAAAAATCAGTGTTACCACCCTACACTAGGAGAGTTCTTGGATGACATGTTAGCCAACCTAAATATTTAAACGGAATAGTTCCAAACCTAAAATTCTGCTTATTATCCATCAAATAAATAAAGGTGTCAGGTTTAGGCAAAGTGTCAGCTATTGGTACTTTTACGTTACTCGGTTTTCACATAACCTACGCTGTAGGGGCAATTCCTTGAACGAGGTAATACATGGTATATCTTGAAGAACACTGATTTTTTTAAAAATATATTTTATTACCAAAAGGTATAAAGTACCTATGTTTCTTGAAGGTTAGTTGTTATAAACTAAATATTTACATTTGTGTCACCCCTATTTACAAGGTAAGGTAAAACAAAAGATATATCAAAAAGGTGTAAGGTGACAAAAGTGCTGGATTTACATGAAATGCAACTTAGCTGAATATAATCCTAGAGGTCAATGATAACTATTCTAGGAATTGCAACTAAGCATAATTTAACTCTAATGAATTTATTATGAAATAATACAGTTCATCAAATTTCTAGAGGCTTTCGACGGCTAGACAGAGAAAGCACTACTGACAGGCATCCCGACGGATTTACGCAATGAAAGTACACTCTGCGCATCAAGTATTTCACTATTTCATTCAGACGTAAATGTCAGATGTAAATTTCGCTAAAACATTTCTTTTATTTTCGTTTGTGTTTTTTGCTCACTACAGTTTAATAGAACCTAAGTATGGAGTTTAATAGCAAATTAAGAGGCCGCGTGATTAACAGTCAATCTCGCGAAATAATAGCCAATGTTATAGAGTTTATGAGAAGAGAAGGAAACTTTAATTCACCTTCAATACCATTTAAAAATGTAAATGATCGTGTTGCTGCAGCCACAGGAGTATCTAAAAACACTGTCGTCCGCATTTCTGGAGAGAAAAAAAGAATCGATAACCGTGAGATATCGGAATTTTCATCACCAAGAAAAACCATTAAAAAACCAAAAACAGTTAATTATATAGATGAAGCTGCACAAGAATCAAATTTTATTTTTTTATTATTAGATAGCTATTTTTGTTTCTGAGTTGTGTTCATTTACAGGCTCAATTTTTTTTCGTTTCTCCTTTTTGATTTTATACGGGGTTTCAAGTTGTTTTTGACTTATTTCGACGTAAATCACAACAACACACTTTTTTAATAAAGCAAACAAGTGTTAAGAGGTATATGTACGTGTAAACTACAATTACAAAAAATTGATATGAAACCCATGAAACCACCAACAAAAATGTAAAGCTAGCTTCCGTACTAGAACATGGTGTCATTCGTCGAGATAATTTATCGTTTTGTTTAATAGATCAAGAAATGTAAATATTCCCCTGTTATTTTTTATAAAATTATAAGAGAAAAACAAAATTTCGAATATTTTAGTAATGTTTCAGAAACAACCGTTATTAATAATAGGTACCATTTTCCTTAATAAGGTAGAAATAAAATATAAACTATTTACACGATTTACAAGGGACTACAAAAAAATTATAGGTATTTTCCGCTATCCTATAAAATTTATATTTTTTGACTCAATTTCAAAAGGTTGAAGGAATTCCAAAACACCTTTTATGGCATAATAATTATTTTCAATTCTACATACTATCTTTAGCTGCTTTTAAAAACGTTCTAAGAAAGTCCAATCAGACCAATTTAATCCCTAAACTATTCCACACTTTTAAAATTTAATTACCTAAAAATATTAAAAACTATTTAAAATAACTTGTTTAGCAGACTGTACAATAGCTATCTTAGTCACACGTAGCGCGTTCTCTGTCTGGGCGTCGAACACCTCTAGAAATTTGATGAACTGTATATAGTATACATTTTTTTATATGATAACTTGCCTTTACAAAAATATTGATGTATAATAAAATTAAATGATATTTAACGCAATCAAAAACGTTCAATATTCTGTTTTGTCTTCAAATAAATTGGGCATTTTCTTAGGAGAGTCGTTTTGTGGTGTTGGTGTTGTTGGTTTTCGATGTTTCCAAAATTGGTAGAGCAAGTATATGACTGCCAGTCCTATGATAAAACAAATGATACCGTACGTGAACCAAGAAATGTTTTTTTCCACGAAGGGTTTGTTGATGAGGTCGTCAATTTCTTTTGAGTACTGGTCCAATTTGTTTTTGGTGACTTCTAAATCGT